CCCCTCCCCCCCCCCCCCCTTGGGCTACTGGGTCTTTTGATTTGCCTAAGATGTTCTGGAGATTTTAGTTGGTTTGTATGCTACAGTGATGTCATGTGGTTGTAGCAATCTGTTGGTTGTTTCTGAGATCTCATCCACCTTTTCCTCACTACCTAGTTTTAGTTTTGTGGACAAATATATGAACAAATCAGAGGAACCCATGGGATCTTCACTCTCAGGATTCATAACAGTGGAAACTATGGGAAACTATTAGCATATTAGACTGTAAAAAACAACAAACAAAAAACCTGCTCAACTTTTCTGCTTATATCAGCAGATGCACTGAACTCTTGCCTCCTTCCACCTGGAATGAAAATGGACTGGCTCATGATTGTCCCTTCCTTTTTTACGCACGTTAAGACCAGCAGAAATGAAGACAATGAAAAGTCAGTTTAGAACCTTTTCAGAGATTGGAAGTTGAAAGTGAAGTAAACAAATATGGAAGTTCCTGATATGTAGAAGTACTTTTTGGGGCAGTAGATTCTAATATTCCAATTATTCACGTTCATTGGAATCCAATATTATGTCCCTAACCAACAATCCCCCAATACCAAGGAGAATTTCTTGCTTGGGAAGAACCTAACCCTTATCGCCAATTTTTTTTTCCTGTGAAAATCAAATGCTGGATTAGAAATATTTTCAGTATGGCATCAGAAATGGGTGCTATCCATTCTCTGTTTACTTCTCATGATTTTCCAGTTATACTGGTCTTGAACCAAAATCTCCTGTCCAATTTTGCATTGAAATGTATGTAACATTTTATGGACACAGATGATGCAGTTTTGATAGTCTTCTAAGCAATAAAGAATGAATGGTTTAATTGCCCGGGCTCTTAGGGAACCATAGAAACATGACCAGGTTTACCTGTGTAAACCTTTAAACTGTGTAAACTTACTTTAAATGCTCTTTGAACTTGGTTGTTTGCTTGCAGATGTTTCATACCCAACTAGGTAGCATCATCAGTGCGAGTGAGTGTAGGGTTTACTGGCTGTTTATAAGCAGTAGCTTTCCCTGCCAGTTTTGGTGGAGGTGTAGTTTGTATCCTGACTAACAAACAGGATAGAAGGATTGGCATTGGATTTGTTGAGGAAGTTGGATATATTCCTTTCCTGGCATAGTGTCAGGTTTCACCCAACAGGCAGGAGTGGGACCAAATAAGCAAGCTCCTAGAAATGCAAGAGCTTCTGGTAAGTTATCTTTATTAATGAAGAGTTAGGAAACTATAACAAAAGGATTCTAGAGACTATTGTGTTTCAAGAGCAAACCTTATATGTAGAAGCAATAATTAAACCCTTCAACCTCCTTTTCTCATTGATGCCTA